CAAGTTTACAAAATTTTTGTAAATTTACGACGATATTTTTCACAGTGGGTCTGAACTGTCCCTGATAAAAATCAGGAGTACCGTTACAAATAACGGAACAATAACGGCCGCAAAAGTTACGTTACAAAAATTTCCCAGTCGGACAAGGTTGCAGGTGCACGTCCACGTCTCCGCGGGCGTCTCGCGCCTCGCGCTCGATGTCCACCACACCAGCTGGTCCAGCTGCACCTACAGGTATATGCTCTCCCGAGAGAAACGGCTAATGCACCATGGACTTCGCCTGGATTGTGGCTGGCTGCGCAGAGAATCCCCTGGTCTAATCCATAGTGATATGAACAAATCCATGCCTTCCTCCGCCCGCATCCAGGGCAAATTCCGAGGCAAATTCAGTCGAGACCGGAACAGCTCAACGAAAGAAACTTAAAAGCATCTCGCGTGCCCGGTGTCGAACCCTCAACTTTGAGGTTGAGGACGGCTGACCCAGACGCTCTCCTCTGGACAAGACTAGACCGCATCGCTGGAGGTGACGGGCAGCGCACCGGTCTGGTTTGCTCGCCACTTCCTTCAGGTCACACCGGCAAGCGGTGGCCAACGACCACTAGCGAGAGAACCAGAGCGGTGCGCTGTCCGCCGCCTCCAGCGACAGCGACCCGCTTTGGCTTAGCTTAGCGGAGAGCATCCCGGGCAGCCGTTTCGTAGTTGGGTGACCGGGTAGAGGACATGCTTATAAGTACTTTTGTTTGAGCCCCGGTTTTGACTGAATTTGCCCTGGATGCGGGCGGAGGAAGGCAAGGGCATGGATTTGTTCCTATCCCTCCGTGTGGCTCCGGGCCGGGTCGAGGCGGTGGTAGGTGGAGATCGAGCCGGAGGCCCAAGACGCCCGCGGGGGCGTAGCGGTGGCACATGCGTCGGGGGAAAAAGTTTTGTAACGTAACTTTTGAGGCCGTTATTGTTGTGTTATTCGTAACGTTACTTATGTCTTTTCGGGGACAGTTTGTAACAGAGTGGCTTTAACCATTTCGTGTCGGTACGATTCGGAACGTTACATCTCAAAGTTTGTGTAAAGTTCGTTCCATGAAAGGATTTTTT